GGAGAAAGAATTTCATATTTATGATTTGGGTTAAAGACTGTTAAGGAAACTTACTGTACATGTTCTCTTTTACTCTTATTTGTTATTAGTGTCAATATTTGGGGAAGAAGGATAAAAATGAACATACATTTAGTTAAATGATGCCTATTATTGGTAAATTAATAATTGCGTTAATATAATTATCACTTTATGGCTATTGGAAAAGTTTGGTAATAAAATTTATTAGTTAATTTGAATTTCAAAATGTATTTGGATCTAGACCTGTGACTTTAAACACAATTTTATGACGTATGGGGTAATTAATTGTTTTATCTGATAATTAACATTACAGCTCAATGCTGTCCTTCATCAGTAATTTTTTCCTTAGAGATGGTCTACATAGATTTTTTTTTTTTTTAACTTGAGGCTCAGAGTTTATTGCAGATACACAATCTTGCTGATTTTTTTTTTTTTTTGGTGGGGGGGCAGAAAGATCAGCCCTGAGCTAACATCCATGCTAATCCTTCTCTTTTTGCTGAGGAAGACCGGCTCTGAGCTAACATCTATTGCCAATCCTCCTCCTTTTATTTTTCCCCAAAGCCCCAGTAGATAGTTGTATGTCATAGTTGCACATCCTTCTAGTTGCTGTACGTGGGACCGGCCTCAGCATGGTCGGAGAAGTGGTGCATCGTGCACGCCCGGGATCCGAAACCAGGCCGCCAGTAGCGGAGCGTGCGCACTTAACCACTAAGCCATGGGGCCGACCCCACAATCTTGCTGATTTTTACAATTTATCTATGATATATAGAGATGATTGCCTCTGTTCTAATCAGTAGGATAGTAGAGAGTCAGAATATAACATTTGTTCATAACCATTTTTTAAAATAAACTTAAATTTTAGAATAGTTTTACATTTATGGAAAACAAGTACAGAGTTCCCTACACTTTGTATACTCTGCAGTTAATATCTTACAGTACCATGGTACAGTTGTCACAACTAAGAAACTAACATTGGTATATTACTATTAAATAAATTCCATATTCAAATTTCATTAGTTTTTCCCTAATGTCCTTTTTCTGTCGGAATCCCATGCAGGATGCCACATTACATTTAGTCTTCTTGTCTCCTTTGCTTCTTCTGGACTGTGACTTCTTAGACTTTCCATGTTGTTGATGACCTTGAGAGTTTTGAGGAATACTCGTCAGATATCTTGTAAATTGTCCCTCAATTTGGTTTTGTCTCATGATTAGATTGGGTTTATGGGTTTTTGGGTGGAAGACCACAGAGGCAAAGTGCCTTTCTCATCACATTACATCAAGGGTACATGCTAGCAATGTGTCTCATCACTGATGATGTTAACCTTGCTCACTTGGTCAAGCTAGTGTTTGTCAGGTTTCTCCGCAGTAATGTTACTTCCCCCTCCCTCCCCTTACCCTCTCATACTCTATTCCTTGGAAGCAAATAACTAAGTGAAGCCCACCATCAAGGGGTGGGAATTAAATTCCACCTCCTTGAAGGTGGCAGGGGAGTATCTACACAAATGATTTGGAATTCTGTACAGGATATTTGTCTCCTCCATTTATATTAGTATGGAGTCATGGATATTTATTTTACACTTCGAGTTGCAATCCAATACTATGTTATATATTTTGCTGCTCAAATTGTTCCAACTTGGGCCATTGGGAGCTCTTTTAGGTTGGCTCCTGTGTCCCATTGACATACTCCATCATTTTTTTTTGAGCATTTCTTTCTGGCACTATAAGATATTCTAGCCCATTTTGTATATTTCCTGTCCCAGTCTTATGTCAGCTGTTTCTCCAAGGAGCCCTGGTTCCTTTCATTGGAGAGTAGTATTAGAAACCAAAATCTGGGTGCTGGATGTGCTCATTGTACAAAGGTGTCATCGCCTCTGTGCCCTCTCAGTGGGCAGAGCTGCGAAATATACGTGCTTACACTGACCCATGTATACATCCATATCTATAATTTTATCTTTGTCCATCTGTATCTATATTAAACTAAATACAAGTTCATACTGATGTCACAGACTCTAATCCAATACAACATGGTTTATTCTAGACTTTTCCCCTTGCTTTTTTATAATCTCTCTCTCTAATAATAAGAAACCTGGCTCCAGCCATCTGCCATCAATTTATTTGTTTGTTCATCTCCAGTTTACATGTAAAGCAGTTTCAGAATTGTTAACCTGTACCCTGTGAGAAATAACTTTACCAACTAGAGTACAATGTTTATGTACTGTTCCTTTTGTCTTTAGTTTTACAGTTTCCAGTCAAAATACCATTTTCCAAAGTTAGTTAGGTCAGTTCCTTTTCCTCCACTTCCTTCAGTGAAGTTATGTGATATATTTATAATACAGTTAGATTATTTTGTCACAGTCCACATTCCATCCTATGGAGCACATAGGATCCCCTGATCTTCTGGTTGATTTGTAAAATTCGTATACAGTAAAGTTCACTCTTTGTGCTGTAAGGTTTTAAAGGGTTTGACAAATGAAGAGTGTCATGTATCCATCACGATAGTACCATACAGATTAGTTCCACCACCCTTAAAAACCTCCCTGTTCACAATCTTTTGAGAGTTCCCAGAGGATCAGTTTTCAGATTAATATTTCAGCTTGATCTTTGGTGTGAAAAAACCTAGGTGGTGAGTTCTTTCATCTCAGGCAGTGGTTCTCAATCCTAGCTCCACACTGGAATTACCTGGAAACCTTTAGAAAATACTGATGCCTGGGGCCGGCCCGGTGGCGCAAGCGGTTAAGTGCGCGCGCTCCGCTGCGGCGGCCCGGGGTTCGCTGGTTCGGATCCCAGGAGCGCACCGAAGCACTGCTTGGCAAGCCATGCTGTGGCGGCATCGCATATAAAGTGGAGGAAGATGGGCACAGATGTTAGCCCAGGGCC